TGTGCATTGACCTGGGCACTGACCTCGTGCCCGCCATTTCGCTGGCCTACGAGAAGCCCGAGTCGGACATCATGCAGCGCCCACCCAGGGACCCAGTCAAGGACAAGCTTGTCAATGAGAGGTGAGTTCTGTACTGTAATGTACTGTACTGTACGGTACGTTAGATATTGCACACAAAAGTATACTGTACACAGTGCACTTGTGCCTCTCAGAGATTTTATTTCGTTAATTTATTTTTAATTTGGTTTAAACTGGCTAGCCATGGACTTCTCATCAGCAGTTTGCAAAAAAAAAATGAAGAAAATTCCTCTTGTGGCACTTTAATGAGTTATAAGTTATATGTGAGTTTCCTTCTATAAAAATTTATAAGTTTCCTGGGACAAGAGCTATTTCCAAATTAATTACAGTAACTTATCATTGCAACAAACTTTTGGGGACTTCAGAAAAAGCTTGTTCTCACAAATCATTTGTTATGAAATTTTCGAAATCGTCAACTGTGAGGTTTATTGCTTTTGATATTAAACCTGCACATATTCTACATCTTCCTTTTGTGACCTTTTCAGATGCTTTCCAGTGCTTGAAAAATTGTGATCTTCAGAAAATATTTCAATGTTAATAACAAGCATTTACTCAGAATAAAAGGTAAACTCCATCACTTTTTGTGGACTTAGAGTTTTTTGAATAATTTTTGTCCTTGATTCCACCTCCCAATTAAAACATAAGAACCAGGGACAGTCAAATTTCTACTGGGAAATTTGACACTCTGCCTGCCTTTACAGAGGATTTTTCATGAAGAAATAAAAGAAGTATTCCTCAAAAAAGTTTGTTATATTGGAATTGGCGAGTTTGTTATAATGATATGTTTATTACAAGTACTCTATAGCAGTGTTACCAATCCATGGTCTGTGGACTGGTGACAGTCAGCAGAAGATTTTTGCTGGTCCGAGGGAAATTTTCAGCATAATACATTCATTAAAAGTATGAACAAACGCTGTTATCATTATCCAAAACTTTGGAAAGACACTGATAGTTGAAATCATTTGATGAAAATGAAAAGTGCGCTTTTCTCCTAGTAACACTTCAGACACATTTTCACATGCTGAAATGAATTATTTTGATTTTTCATTCCGCAAAACCATTCTGCAAGCCCACCTTTCTACGTTTTTGATGGCATTCAGCTATAGATGCTTTGTAGGTGCTTAGCTTATTTTTTGCGAGAAGCAGCAACTTTTATTTGCCTGCCATAAACTCTATTAATCAAAATTTTTCAAGTCTGTGAAAATGCTATGAAACTTTGACAGTGTGCAGAAATTTTGTTGGGAATTTTCCAATCAGTGAAAAATTTTATGGAGATTCGCCGACACTAAAAGGTTGGGGAACACTACTCTGCTATGTGATTTCAGGATTTATGCTGGGACTTGGAAAAAAGTTTGTCATGCTGAAAAATTGGTTTTAATGGTATTTATTGTAAGATTTCACTGTATTAGTTGAAATTTGCTAAACTTGAAATCCATCAAGCTTAATTTTTTAAATGTGATGAAGTATTTATTACACCGGAGTCAATTTTTAGGGGAGAAAGGTTGTACAAATCGTTTTATGATTGTTCCCTATGCATTACTATTTTTTTTACTAAATCATGGTCTTGTATAGTTATTGACTTTTCTTTTTATAAATGTCTCATGTTGAATGGAAAAAGGCTTGTATTGATGGCCTATGCGCAAGTGGGACTCATTGAAACCTTCGGCGCATTCCTCACCTACTTCGTGGTGATGGGTGAGAACGGGTTCCTGCCCCGGAGGCTCCTTGGCCTCCGGGCCCAGTGGGACAACCCGTACATCAACGACCTCGAGGACTCTTTCGGCCAGGAATGGACCTTTCATGACCGCAAAATACTCGAGTCCACTTGTCACACCGCCTTCTTTGTGTCAATCGTCGTCACTCAATGGGCTGACCTCATCATCTCCAAGACGCGCCGGAATTCAATCTTCGAACAGGGCATGACGTGAGACCCATTTTCAAATCGTTCGCTTATTTTTGTCGGTACTGTAGTGTACTGGGAAGTGCAGTACTGTAATACGTTATTCCAGGAAGAGGGTTATTGGTATTCACATTCTATGTACGAGGGTTGTTTCAGTTGGATCCGACCTCTGGTATTTTCAGAGCAGATGGGAATGAGCCAAAAATTTATTACATAGCCCATAATGTTTCCAAGGTTCTGGCATTTTTTTCGGATTTTTAAAAAAAATTCTCAATTTATGGAAAGATGATAAGTAGTTACATGCCATTTAAAGCCAGAGTTCTCCAAACATGTCATACAAGGGGCTGAAAGTTGCAGGCATGCTAAAGATATAATTTGTTTCATTCTGTTACTCATTCTCTTTCTCAAGTTACCAGTTGTTGGGTGGGTTAAAGTACCCACCCAGGAAATGATAAAGGAGTTTGGCAGGTAACCTCATAAAATGTTCACCCTTCCACATGTAGTCGTGGACGAGTCTAAAATCATAGGTTGTATGCATTCCAAATCACATTTATATCTCTCCCTACCTCAGTTGTATTTTTATGAAGTTTTCTCTCACTGTACATAACCATTGCACTCAACAAAGGACTTACAATGGAGTAGTTAACAGAAGTTTTCTTTTCTGAAAATGTAGGAAAATTGCCAAAAACCACACCAAAGACTTGGTTCTCAACATTTTGGGACTGTTTGAGATCTAATTTTATTGATTCAAAATGATAAAAAAAACATTTTTTCATGTCCAGAGTGCAATATTCAGACTTTCCCCCATTCACCTTTCCAGATTAAATACAGCATTGAAATTATTTATTGCATTGCTCATTAAAAATCTGGATTTATCAGAGAAACCCCAGTTACCCATTTTTATATACAGTACTTGACTGGCAAAACTATAGTTTGCAAGTACTGTACATAATTCTCGTTTTTTTCAGAAATTGGGTTTTGAACTTTGGACTTGTCTTTGAAACTGCTTTGGCCTGTTTCCTGTCCTACACTCCTGGAATGGACAAGGCTCTGAAAATGTATCCTTTGAGGTGAGATCAGCCTTTTGTTCTGCATTACAGCTATTTATCTTTGTGAGACTTGTCTTTGAAACTGCTTTGGCCTGTTTCCTGTCCTACACTCCTGGAATGGACAAGGCTCTGAAAATGTATCCTTTGAGGTGAGATCAGCCTTTTGTTCTGCATTACAGCTATTTATCTTTGTGCAGGTTGAAGAAAATACAGATGGAGGGCCATGTAATCTACGTTTGGAACTGGTCCTTTAGAAGAAGTCTTAAAATAACTTTTAGTACTCCCTAAAAGTAAATTTTCAGGGCAGGAATCTTGAGAGATTTCTAGAAATGAGCCTGATGTTTCAAATAATTTTATGAAATGAGATTGAAGGATGAACCTCAAAATGTTGTTTTTATAAACCTGAACCGGCTACCTAATTTTTTTCTTGGATCCAGTATGTGTTTAGTTCAAGTTCAATTAAAAATATGCCTCAGTTGCAACTACAAAAAGCAAGCACGTTTTCTATGGCTCAATTAGGCTTTGAATTGTGAATCAGTTATAATTACTTGCATAAACGAGGCAAACACTCAAGTTTTGAACAGAAATACACTTGAATATCTATAGTTTTCAAGAAATGGCCCCTGTGGAAACTGTTGAATAACTTTTTCCAGCACACAATAAACCTTTTTGTGTTTGTTCTTAAGGCAATACTGCCACCAGTTAGTTCCCATCGAATTTGATATACGCTTAGATGAATTATATGCACTTAAAGTGTAACAAACAATTTATCATCAAAATCAAGTTTCAGATTCTAATATTCGTGATTTTTATCACGATAAAAGGTTTGTTAACCGAATTTCGGTTTGTCAACTGTTGGATTTTTCTTCGTAGTGGAAACCAAATCTTCTCAACCAAGGGTCCACTGTATACAAACAAAATTAGTCACATCACAGTCAAGTTTATTTTCCAAGGGTTCACCATCTTTAATACTTATTGTCATTTGCTTTTCCTGTTCATAGATGGACATGGTGGTTGCCTGCAATGCCATTTGCTCTGCTAATTTTCATTTACGACGAGGGTCGACGATATGCAATGAAAAAGTTTCCCGGTGGATGGGTGGAGAAGGAAACCTACTACTGAGACTCACTCGACTTAGGGACACTCCTCTGCCACTGTATTTTTGACTGAGAGAAGGACTTTAAGTTGAACTCGAGCTAAAGATGCGTTCCTTGTTTCTTTTTTCTTACCTTTAGAGCAATATTCAACGACATAAGTAAGGACCTTGCAAAAATATTCAGAGACTTTCATCTCTGTGAATTTTGCAATGAATCAAGTTCAGGCGAAAGCGGAAAGAAAACTCTCGTGAACCGTTGTTTTCTATGCGTGTAAGCTCGAAAGAAGAAAAGAAAAACAAGTGCGAGTATATGTATACAATTTTGTTTTGGAATGCTTGAATGTTTTACAAGTGTGACGCTCTGTAAATGTGCAAATATTAGACGAAAATGGAAAATGAGGTGAACTTGATTTGTTTATACTGATTTTGGTCTCAGGTGTGGTCACAAAGCATATGGAATGGAAACTCATTCGATCAATAGACTTTCTTCACGAATTAAATGTACTTATGTCGAGTATTTTCAGGAAGTTTTGTCATATTTGCTGCTGCTTATAGCAATACTACAGTCACCCACTCATGTGACAAGAGAAAGAAGTGACTTCAATGAATATACCTTCATTCTTTTTATTAAACATGCCCCAAAATTTCATTATTGAAACACAAAAACTTGTTTTGTTAATTTATTTTGCCACACCAGTGTCAAGGAATAATACAGCCTTTGTCCTTTTCTGGAAATCAGAGGTATTCAGTGTTGTAATTATTCATGATCCTCAGCACGGCAAAAATATTCTCGCCATTGTAATATTTTTATGGAAGCATTCCCTTTGTTTGTAAAATGTCCTTCAATATGGAATCTTGAAAAGAAAATTGATGATATTAATTTACGTTCGAGGAGGAATATAAATATTAAAAACTAATAAGTGCTTGTTCCAGCGGAATCATAAGGTTTAAACACATTTACTCTGTATGCAGGTCTTTTAAATTCCGTTTGACCAATTTTTTTAATGACTGACGGAACGTAAAAATGATATCATTTCTGAGGTTGCGTTAATTTCATTAAAATTTGAATTTTGTTTACCGCTCGTCTTGCTGAACTCAGGGCGATGGAATAACCGACATAGATGATTTGCTTTTCTCTAAAAAAAATTGTAAGTAGAAATGTTGAAATGCCTCTGGTTTAATTTTCTTTGTGCATTTTTTGTTTGCTGATCAGGCTTTCTGAAGAATACCCGCGGAGTTTCGAGAAAAGAATACGAACTCAAATACAGGAACAATTTGAAAAGAGCGTTTTAGAAAGTAATTCTTGAGAAAGGATTATTTCATCAGCAGCAGGGATTAAAGTTTTTGGAATTCATGTTGTTCCATCGCCGTTTCCTTCTTTTTTTCGAGGGATCAGCCAACGGTTGTCCTTGGAAAATGGCATTGATGCACAGCAAAAGTGAAATTGGGTGCATGAAAATTCCTGACCGTGTCTTGAGAAAGTTTCAGTTGATCCTTGGTGTTCGACAGAAACGGTGCCTCGTCAATTTTCGTACTCCATGAAATTTTTCTTCTGAAATACCGTAAACGAGACTGTGTTTATTTTTAAACTTCATTCAAGTACAAATTTGTTTTTGATTTCGGACAGATGAATCTTTGCCAGGGTTTTCGAATTAAAGGAACTTTGCTATTCTTCGTGGAGTGTATATTTCGTTGTACCTTGGATGAATATTTTTTTCTCTGGTAATGGAGAAGTCGGGGACTTGGGAAATTCCTTGAGTTTTCTCATATTTAATGGTGGGATGAATTCTTGAACTTGGTTAATTATTATACTGTTTCCAGCAAGATTTTTATCGGTATTGGACAGAATATTCTGTGCCTGGATCGTTCACGTTTGTAGTGAATGTTCGGTTAATTTTACTGTATAGTATGAATACGATTTTTATATATGTTGTAAGGGATTATCTTTAAATGGATCGTGGATTTCCGCTTATTTTCGCATACCGAATTTTTTGTAAAGTGAATATTTCTTTGTACTGTACTACGTTAATGATATATTTACTGGTGTTTATCGACAGAAAAAACAGCGATGCCTTAATGGTTGTATTACAAGTATTTTAGTGATCCGCCTTTTTTTTTTGTGAAGTGAATGCAATAAATGATTTTACTTTATATGAATAATATCTCTTTTTGACGTGTTGGAGAGAATGTTTCCCTCATTGTCGAATTCAATGAATATTCATTCTCTGTAATTCATGATGTATTGAATCGGTTGCATAATGCATTCAAGTAAAATTCCTGTGTGCCTTGGACAGACATAATTCCCGATTCTTAAAAGTTTCCCCCCATATTTCTTCGTTAGGTCAATCTATTCTATTGTTTGCACTGCGATTGAAAACTACTTTTTATCCTTATGATTTTAACCTTACTTTTTGAAAGTGATTCGTGGCGGTCGTTTCTCGGGCTTCCGCATTGTGAAAACACTGTAATTCAGTGATACAAAATTTTTGGACTTCAGTGCCTGACGAGAATAACTGAGAAACGTCGTCTTTCGTGGGTGGACATCCCATAGCCTGTCGATGATGAAAATCACTTTGGGTGACTTAGAGTGTGACTTTTCCTCATATTGAAGATTCGGAGCTATCCTAGTTGGGGAGCTATCCTAGTTGGGGGGACCCAGACTACTAGCTCCATCTACAATGAACAGTGCTTAATCCCTTTCACGCGCGCCTAGCCCTTGTACACTCCAATTCTCCAACAGCTCTGCTGTGCTGCCGGTGAGGTACGCTATCGTCAGCCTTACCACCAGTCCGATTTTATTCTCTATGCCGGTACAAATCCAACTGCGCATTTGAATTAAGATGTGAATTGACACTGGCACTGTTATTTCTGATTCTGCTGAGACTGAATTTGGGAGGCAGTTAGGTAAAGTTAGGTTAGGTCAGGTTATGTCAGCAAAAAATATTTCAGCCATACATTTTAAAATGTATTCATTGAAAATATTTTAGGTAACACAACCTGACTCGAGTTTTCTGCAAAAACTGACTCTGGGGGGCAGTTAGGTAAAGTTAGGTTAGGTCAGGATATGTTAGTTAAAATATTTCAACTATGGATTTTATATGTTCATTACAAATTATTTAAATTAACATTAATACATATTTTAACTAACATAACCTGACCTAACCTAACTTTACCTAACCACCCCCCAAATTCAGTCTCAGCAGAACCAATGAAACAGTGCAAGTGTCAATTCACATTGAAATTCATTTAGAGTCAGTAATGAATTTGAATCGAGAATAAAACGGACTGATGGTAAGGCTGACGATATCGTACCACAGGATAAACAGAACAGGGTTGTTGAATGATTGGAGTGTGTCCACCAAGAACGTTCAGTGTGCCGTTCTTAGCGACATCTATATAGACGTAGTTTTGCGCTTGGGTCCCCCCAACTAGGATAGCTCCGAAGATTTGACACAGGTAAGCCAAATATTCTCCATAACCAGGTAAATAGTTGATAAAAAATAACCAAAGGTATCTTTGCGACAGCTGCTTCGTTAATTTTAATGAAACTACGAAAAGCCCCTCACATGCAATGATGGTGCAAGCTAAGTGCAAATAATTCATACACATCTGCACTAATCCGAAAATGCCTTCCTCCTGGCACTTCAATATGCATAACATTGTGTTTTGAAATGTGTTCTGCTCCATTAATCTATATGCTTATCTGGGATATATATATTTTGTGTGCTTAGATCTCCTGGGCGTTTATTTTTGGAAAGGTTTATTTCATCTTTATGCCTTAAAAAGCAATGGAAATTCTATTTCCACCTGACAGGTATCCTTCAATGCGTGTTTCTCTGGATGTGCAGCTTTTCTGGTTAGACCTGATGATCTTGAAATCTTTCATAGTCTTTTTTCAATTGTCTTTGAAGTTTGTGAAATGGATTACATTCTTCCCAATTGAAGTGTTGGGGAAAATCAAATGTGGTCAACAAACTTCTGTGTGTAACCAAATGAGTATGTTAACTAAGTGTCCATATGAATTTTTCTTTAGATAAAAATGAAGTACAGTATTCACCAAAATGAAAATCCAAATTACTTCTCTCTTGGCATACTTTAATTTACACTACATCTATAAAATACAGTTCAAGAATTGCATTGCATTTTGATCAAATCTGAGAAGTACCAATACCTTTTTGGTAATTTGTATTGTATTGTAATAAAATGGAATGAACATAAAATTTAAAATGAATACTATGAGTAACTGCATGAAATTTAGATATTCAAATTATTTTCATAGCCTTTTTGTAAGACCTATGGAACTCTTGATAAGTGCGCCACTATAAAAGTAGGATTTTTCCTCTATAAAATTTGCACTGCAAGGAAACCTAAACCATGTAGTGGGTTGTAAAGTCTGGGCTAATCATTCTGCCCTGCTCTCCACCCTAAGACAAATACAGTTCCTTGAGCAGTTGACAGCACTCCTATTTTTCTACTAGGACTATTCCAATTATAAACTCTTGGCATCATAGAAATTGTCTCCTTTAACAAAGTAGTGAGATGCACAGTATTACAAAGCAGCCAGGATTACTGTATAGAGCGGATCTGACGCAATATACAAAGGGCACTGAATGTGGGTGTACAAGGCAAAGCAGTATAAGCAGGTGCAGGAGTGGGTGTTAACATGTACAAAGCAGTGGGACAAGTGGATACAAATCCAGGTGCTGTTGGAAGACTGCAATTCAAGAGTTATGCTGCAGTATAGGAAGAAAGTGAAGAACAAATTGTTTCTCTATAGAACTATAGTTCTTCCATAGATATGTTATGTAATGTGTGTAAAACAAATTTTATACAATGCATAAAAATTTAAAGAATGCATTGCACTCAAGTACATACAGTTTTCTCACTATATATGTTCTTCTACATACAGTACATTAGTTTTACCATTCACAAGGGTAATTTTCAGTTACTTGGGAATGAAAGTTGAACATAACATGGTCAAGGTCACCAAACTCCAGGTGCAGCATGAACCCCCACATATAGTCCTCAAATCTTGCATTAATGCTCGCATGAATACCATTAGAAATCCTCATAATTTTCTTAAAGCTTGACCACATGGCTTCAACATTATTGGTGTGAACTCCATTTCGACTGCATTTTGGAAATGAAAACATATGTGATTGTAAAAACATGTATTTATTTAAACATTTACCTTATTATTTGAGGAGTGGCTTATTATTTATGAGTGTGTAAATTGATGAACCTTTCAAATGCGGCACCTTTCATGGATATTTGTGAGTTGGCAGAAGGGTTAAATAATTTGCAATTTATGTTTAAAAACATTTATTATCTTATCTATATACACATGACAGCAAATACAAAGTAAAATAACATGGAATACAACACAACACAAAAAGACAAACAATCAGAAAGATGTGTACAACATTTACATCAAATAATGAACAATTAATCCCACCAATAAAAATTATTTTCCATCAAACTTGTTCCATACTTCTTGTTGTACTTC